GGGACCCGACCGACCCCTTGGTGTTCTGCAGCCCTGGCTGAGCAGACTGTGAAGCTGTTCCCTTCTTGGGCTGAAACAACTTGACTGGACAGTTACACTTGCCGCACTTCCCCGAGTTGGTAACTATCTTCTCGTTATACTCGTGAGTGTGACATTTCGCACATGTACTCCATGTCTTGGCCATGGGTCCACGGGCGAAGCCTCGCTTTCGCCTGCGCAGCTGGCCGTCCGAAAGGGTGGACAGAAAGTGCGCAGCCCCCCAAGCACCACGTGGAGGCGCGAGGTTGGGCGCCGGATGCCAAAATGGCGCTCGAGCCCAAGTTGCTTGAGAGGAAGAAGAGGAGGAGAAGAAGGTGAGTGAGGAAGATGAGGGGGGCCAGCGTCGGATGGGTTCGATTCCTCCTAAGCTCAACGCCCCGCCCGTTGGCGGGATGGGGCAGAGGCGGGGGGCCCGCGGCGACCTGTGGGAAGATCCTTGGCCGCTCTGGCCGCCCTGGCACACTCAAAACCTTGACTATCCGAAGTGGCCCCTCCTGGGCCCCCTTTCTGAGCACATTCAGGCCTCGGTGCACATGATAGCGCATCATCGTCATCACCATCGTCATCACCACCATCATTATCATCACCACCACCACCATCATCATCAGCAGCAGCATCATCATCAGCATCATCATCGTCGTCAGATCCATCATCATACCCACCATCATCATCAGCATCATCAGCATCATCAGCATCATCACCATCATCGCCATCATCATCATCAGCAGCATCAGCAGCATAATCATCCGAGCCGCGTCGGCACAGTCGCTGACGATGGCAGGTCGGGCGAGCGGGTCCAAAGAAATGGGCCCCCCTGAGACCCGCACCAGAAGGGCGTCCCTTCTACGGCAGGAAGCGAAATGGGTCAGGGAGCCTGGTCCCCAGGCATCCCAGAAGACGCCCGAGCTGGGGGTGACGGAGCCGGGCGTCCGTGGCCCACCCGTCTGTCCAGGTTTAAAAAAAGGGCTCAGCGCCAAGCGAGAGAGAGAGAGAGAGAGAGAGAGGCGAGAAACGTCCGAACCGAGTCGAGGCCGAGCGAGGCGAGGAGGTGAGGAGGAAGCCCGAACCAGGATCGGAGACGCTGGCGGACGCGCGCTGCGAGCGCAGCCTTGCGCCCCTTCGTCGCACGGGCCCGCGCGAGCGCTGCCTGGAGGCAAGGCCTCCGCCCCGGGGCACGTCGGCTCTCCGCCTCCAGCACAAGGTCGGGCATGTCCCCCTACAAGGGGGGGTCCTTGGGCGAAAAAATTAAAAATGCTCAAACACATGCCAAGCATATTAGAATAAAAAATGCTCAAAAGCATGCGGGCATGTCCCCCCACACAGGGGGATTCTGGACGAAAAATGAGGAGGCGGCTTGGCGACCGTAAGCTTCTTGACCATGGCCTGGAGGTCGGCAAGCTGCTTGGCCATGGAGGCGGTGTCGGACTCATCCTTAGATGCCATAGGTGAGCCCGTGGACTTGGTCGCAGGACTCCCTTTGGGCGTTTGGGACCACCGTAGCAGACTCCTTTCTGTAGGTTGCATTTAGACCACTCCTTGAGGTCGCAACGGTTGATCCACGGCGTGCCGTCCCTCGTGACGCACTTCTTGCAGCGCCAGGGGTCAGCAACGAGGCGGCGCGACATGGCGGCGCCGTGACGGAAGTAAGGCCAACCAGGCCGCAGTAACCCTTTACAGTCCAGGAACCCTGGGGACGCCACCCAGGAACCCTGTGGACGCCACCCAGGAGGGGAGGAGAAGGAGGAGGAGGAGGAGGAGGAGGAGGAGGAGGAGTTGGAGGAGGAAGAGGAGTTGGAGGAGGAGGAGGAGGAGGAGAATAATATCATCCCGCGGACCTCGCACGCCCCTCATACGCTTCCCGACCCCACGGGGAGCCTCACCGAGGGCGATGTTCACGGCTGCGGCGCTAGCAGCTGCGCATGGTTTGGGTGCGTCGCCGAGAGATGTCTGGGCGCCGCCGGATGACGAGGAAGAGGTTTCCGTCTCCTCCTCTACTGGCTGCTGGTCTAATGCCTGCTCGCCCTAGCGGGTTCCCATACCTTTTTCCCGTCTTGTTCCCGTTCACTGTGAGTCACAAGCCAGCAGCAGCAGTTCTGCTCGCGTTTGTCACTTGGGCCACTGGCCCTCCATCGCGTAAGTCGGTTTTGTTCATTACGGGACCGTCATTATCTGGCGAAGCGCTCCCACTCGAGCAATGCTGGCGCACGCAAACAAAGGAGGAGGAGGAGGAGGAGGAGGAGGAGGAAGAATAGGAGGAGGGGGAATCGAGGAGAGAGCAGGAATGTGGATGGAGGGAGGAAAATAAAGCAACAAGGAGCGAGGGAGGAGGGAGAAGGAAAGAGGATGAGCGGGAAGTGCGGAGCACTCCAGAAGAGGATCGGGAGCGCGGTGGAGGAAGGGAAGGATGAAGCAGGAGCGAGGACTGGGCGTAGTGAGGCGGAGAGAGGGCGGACGAGGCAGAGGAGGAGGCGGAAGCTCCACTGCATCACATTGGGCGAGTCTCCGGGGTCGGCTGCATGTTGGCGAGCCTCGCACCAGGCACTTTGGCCTCCGCGCGGCAGGCTCACACTGGCAGCGTGGAGCAGCGGGCCGGGCTCCGGCGCCGGCGCGTCTTGGCCGACACCAGAGACCCTGAGCCTAAGTCCGGCGTGTCTCTCTACAGGAGGCATATGAAAAATAGTCAATAATAATCTGGGGACGATTCTTCTATTATTTTGGACTATGTTTGAATGTTTGTTTGCGTATTCCTCATTCAAAATCCGCCTGTAGTGACTACCTACCAGACCACCCCAACCCAACCCGAAGACCCGAATTTGACCCGAATTTCGGGTTGGGGGGGGTACGGGTTCCATGTGTTTTTTCAATGGTCCCCGACCCCCCCCCACTGGAAATCGAGGATAAATTTGGGCCTTCGGGTTGGGTTGGGGTGGTTTGGTGGGTGGTGATGTAGGGGGACATGCCCGACCTAACCCTGAGCCTAAAAAGTCCCGGCGAGAACCGACCACGCGGACTAAACCGACCCTGCATGGGGCCTTCGTGGACCATATCGCTCCTCGCCATCGCTCGGACACCCATTCCCTGGGCACTTTTCGAGGTCGCGACCGTGTTTTCCGCAAGATGATCCAAGATGGTCCTCGCCCTCCCCCGACATGCACACATCCGAGCGATGTCAAGTCTCTTGACTTCGGTCGGGCATGTCCCCCTACAGGGGGATTTTGGACGAACAATCGACAAGACATCAAACTATTTTGGCAAATTCCTCCTGTAGAGGGACACGCCCGACTTAAGCTTAAGTCGGGCCTGTCCCCCTACAGGGGGATTTTGGAAGAAAAATGAAAGATACCCCCAAAATATACCAAAAAGGACTAAAAATACTCAAAGAATAAATCCCCAGACAGTTTTTGGACTATTTTTTGACTATTTCTTGGGTATCTTATATTTTTCGTCGAAAATCCCACTGTAGGGGGACAGGCCCGACTTAAACTTAAGCACACGTCCGCGCGATGCCAAGCCTCTTGACCACACCCGAGCTCCAGACTGTATGGGGGTGGCGTGCCTTCGGCCCTCCTCGATCGCTCCGCCCTCCCGGATCGCTTCGCGGCCCGGGGAGACATCTCGGGACCCCTCGCCCACGCCGGTCCTCCTCTGGTCCTCCTCCACAGGGGGGGGTCCCAGGGGGGAGTCCTTTTCCTCCTCCGTCTCCTCCTCGTCCTCCTCGTCCTCCTCCTCCTCCTCCTCCTCTCCTCCTCCTCTCCTCCTCCTCCTCCTCCTCCTTATGTCCGCCTCCTCCTCCTCCTCCTCCTCCTCCTCCTCCTCCTCCTCCTCTTACTCCTCCTTCTCCTCTTCCTCCCCCTCCTGGTCGTCGTCGATGTCATTCAGGGTCGGCGGCACCGGCCGTCAGGCCTTCACAATCTCAGGACCCTTTCTTGGGGGGGGGCGGAACATCCACCCCCATACGAAGCACCCGGACAAGCGAAGCCGTTTAGTAGAGGCACCCAAGGAAGGAATCGAACAGAGCAGGGCGATCCAGTAAACGGCCAGGGCCGTTCAGCAAACGAAAATTGTCGGGGGTATGGTTAGAGGCCTCCTAGATGGGGTCGGAGTAGATGGGGTCGCAGGATCGCGCCGCATCGCTGATACATCGGCGAAATATCGGCGATGCACTGGCGATGCACCGGCGATACATCGTCGACGTCGGCGATGCATCGACAACATCTACGTGAAGCAAATCGGGCTCCACATCGAGCCGCATAGCCGACGCATCGGCGATGCGGCGCGATCCTCCGACCCCATCTACTCCGACCCAATCTGTGAGGCCTACAAGCCTCATCAAAAATAAACAGAAGACTTCTGAATTCGGTGGTTGTGGGGTCAGCGCTACTCCAATGCTGACGAATGCCTGTTGGCTCGGACGCGGTGTTCTCCAAACACCAAACACCGACCCCGCCCCCTCAGCACTAAAGAACGCGCTTTCTGGCAAGTGCCCGAAAGCGTCGTGCTCCTGGATTTCAACTTCCATGTCTTGATATTTTTGACGAGGCTTGTAGAATGGTGGTGCTTCTTTTCTTGGCCTTTGCCTCATCAGGCAGCGTTCAACCGATCCCCCCCCCTGGGCGTGGCCCGGGCCCCACCAGCCGAGGTACCCCCCCTGGACGGCGATATACAGATCCTGTTCCATTCGGGCTTCGAGGGGTAGATCCCCAACGGGGGGGTGAGATGGTGGGGGTCTGGACTGGGGGATGGGGATGGGGATAGGGGCTTAGTGGGCCCTGGAGACGGCAGGGCCGTTTTTTTACCGGTTCCGTTCTACCATTATTTTGCCGGTTCCGACGCCGTTTTTGTACCGGTTCCGTCGCCATTGTTTGACCGGTTCCGGCTCCGGTTCCAATCCTGGAGCCGTTTTTGTTGCCGTTTCCGGTCGCCGTTTTTTGCCGTTTCCATTTTCAAGGGGCATTTTTGGGGGGGAAGCGGTGGAAATCGGCCCTGCCGCTTCTGGGGCCCACAAAGGATAGGGGTCGGTTCAACGATACATGACTCATAGCGACCCTGGCGCTGGAAGCGCGCCAGGGGCGACCACCGCCGGCGGGAGGGCGGTGTCCAGCGCTGGCCGGAGATACATCTGCGCGGACCTGCCAAAGGTTAACACACTGCGACCAGAACAGAAGGTTGCGGCTACACGCAAGAGTGACCCTGGGTCAGGGTGACCTTTCGTGCACGGCTTTTTGGGGGGCGCGGGGGGAACAGGCACAGGTGCGCAAGACGCTGCTACCGCATCGCGTTCGGCGATCGGGGGACCCCTAATGAGCCCGCACCAGAGGTCACTCCTCCGAAGGGCCATCCTTACGTGTAGTCGAGACCATAGCATAGGGATGCGCGGCAAGGGATGATTCGCGGGGGTCGTGCGCAAATCATGGCCAGCGGTATGTGCGCGGCCAGGGTGGGGCCGGGGACGCATGGGAATAAGAAGAGGCGCCATGAAATCTGGGGAGATATCATGGCCCCCCACCAGGATTTCCCCCCCCCTCGTCACCACCCCCCTCCTTCGGGGTCGCGCAAACATGGATTAGCGATCCATGGATTTGGCGCGCGGTCGCCAGACCCATGGATCGGGTGAGGTGCCCTCCCCAAAGTGCGGCCGGTGCCGCCTCGCTCGGCGGCGGAAATCCGCGATTAGCAATGGAAACTGGACCCGTCGCTAATCCACGCCCCCTTAATCCATGTTTGCGATCGCCTGATTCTTGGCCGCCCCCGAAGGGAGGGGCCACTTGGCGCCAGGCTCCAGCGGAGGCGAGGAGTTCGTGCAGGAGGGCGCCGCGCGCGGCACTGGCGGACCTCGCCCCGTCGCGTTCCATCCCTCGCTCCACTCGGGGGCAATGTCAGCAGAGTGTTTTTGTGACCCTCTGTCGGCGGCGAGCGAGGGGGGGGATTGAGAAGAAGAAGGCCTTCTCAGAAGGCGGCGGGACTTCTGAGGAGCCCTCGCGCCTTCTGGGAGGTTTTTTCTGTCTTCGGGGAAGGCTTAGAAAACTTCTCAGAAGGCCAGGGAACTTCCGAGACTTCTGAGAAGGCCCGCCCCTTCTCACTTCCCCCCTCGCTCGCCGCCGGTTTTGTGACCCTCTGAACCATCACGCGCGCAAGCCGAGGTTGGAAGCAAGTGGCAAAGGGTCCGGGTGGACCGAGAGGTTGGGACGCAGGGCAGCTTATCGTTCAAGAATGGTGCATTATTATGATGTGGTCTGGCTATCAGAATGAGGGGGTCCGAAAGGTTTTGCACCATGCCTGGGTGCGTACCTTCCGCGGTGAAGATGAGAGTTGAATGCTGTTGTTTGATGTTTGTTGTTTGCTGATGTCGTCGTCCTCACCCACGACCCGCCCGCGACACGCCCGCGACCCATCCGCGACCCACCTACGACCCACCTTCATAGCTTTTACGAAAATTCGGCTCTCGTGGCGGGCTCGTTGTGCAATGTGTGAAAAATTGGCGCCTGCGGCGGGCTTCTTCATAGCCTGGCAATCTGCCGACGACCCCGTCGCCGACTCGCTGTTATCCGCAACTGCGGGGGCTATGGTACGCTCACGGCCAGGAGCTTTTGCATAGCGTGTCGCGGCGGCGGCCCTGGCGACGCGCCACGCCCTGCAAACGGATAGAGTGTCGATCCGCTGCGCGGGGCGGGAGGCTGGGAGCAGCTCGGGGCGTGGATGCTTTGGGAGCCGCGAGGGTGGATAGCGTGTCGCGCCGAAGCGTGGCGGGCCAGAACCTGCGGGGCGACACGCGAAGCCAACGTTCCTGACCGTATGGCAGGTCTGCTTGACGGTGAGGACCCTCAGCTAAAGGATCCCCAGGGGCCTGGAAGCGCAGGGCACAAACATTGAGGCTCGGCCAGGACCATCCCCGCGGCCCTCATCAGACAAGCAGCCCCTCCAGAGAACCTGAAGCCTCCTGGGCCACATCCCTTTCTTGAAAGTCGGCGGCGCAGAGGAGACTCAGGCGCGAGCAGCAGATGGAGGGGCTGATTGCGATCGAACGTTGTCGAAGGCACAGCGCACACAAGGTGCACACGGTCAATGCGGCGATAAACCACATCCCGCCCTCGACGAGCACCCCCGCCGTGCGTCGTTCTCTGCTCCTCGACCGCACTGGGGAAACCAAAAGGTACCGATACCGCTACTCTCCGGACCTCTCCCGGGGTGCGATCTGACCAGGACTTCGAGGCGAGCGGTGGCGACGAGGACTTCCCAGGAGGCCCCAAAAGGGGAAAACGAGAGAGGGGTAGAGGTATGGGTACCTTTTCCTGCTCCGCGACCGCACGCCCCTCACGCCAGGCAGGTGCACCTCACGCAGCCGTCCCCCCGAGGGGCGCTGGAGATCTCGGGGACGGCCGCCACGCGCTCGTCCTCCTTCCGGGCGGCACTGGCTGCGCACCGGCCCTGCCGCCCCTGGCCGATGCGCATCCGGGGCCCAGGCTCGGTGTAGTGAGCAGGGGCCGACCGTCCCCACGACATGTCTTTAGAACCCAAATCTGTTCCAATAAACAAGAACAGTGTTCTTGGAACACAAGCCCGATGTGTTCAAACAGGACAGGCTCCGCCAGAGATGCTCTCTACGAACATCTCGTGGAAACCAGCAGGGTTCTCGGAAAATTGTTCGGCAGGGCTATTGGCGAGCCAGGACGCCTCGCCACTGCTTGAGTGTATACAGCAGGCTCGTGCGACAAGGGACCCCCTGGCGCGAGGGCCATTCGGTGGCACCTTCGTCGGCCCTCCAGGGCCCCGGCGTGCCCCCGAGGTCCTGTGGGTCCCTGGGGCCATCGGGCGCCAAAGGAACTTGCAAATTCCGAGGGGGCACCTGCCGGTCAGCCGGCTTCTTACTTGGTGCGCCCACTGTGCGCCCTGCCGGCCTGGGCAGGAAGGCCTGAGCACAACGATTCTGCGCCCAGGATCGGCCTGGCCAGGATCGGGCGGGTGGTCATGGGCGTGGCCTACATGGGGGGTGACAAGAAGAGGCCCCAAAGGAGCCCTTTAGGGCCCGTGCTGGCTCCAAAAGGAGCCCTAAAGGAAAGACAATTTAGGTCATCCCCCCCATTCCCAGACCCCCGACGTCGTGAATTTGCATAACGTCGACCCCTGCAGAGGTCTCGACCCATTCCCCGGGAGCGGCCTTCCATCCTGAACCATCTCTTGCCTGTCTTTTGACTGCCCCAGGGCCCAGCGAGGGCCTCGAGGAGCCCAGAACGGCGAGAACTTCCTTCCGTCATGATTTTGGTTCACGACGCGGGCATGTCTGGGTTACCACCCGCCCGAGCCGATCCTGGGCCCAGGATCGGTGCACAGTGCACGGTTTCCCCCGGGGCCGTAGGCGACCCGAGGAGGAGGAGGAGGAGGAGGAGGAGGAGGAGGAGGAGGAGGAGGAGGAGGAGGCGGAGGAGGAGGAGGAGAAGGAGGAGGAGGAGGGAGGGAGGGAGGGGGGGAGGGAGGGAGTGAGGGAGGGAGGAGGAGGGGAGGAGTGAGGGAGGAGAGAGGGAGGAGGAGGAGGGCGAGGGAGGCCGGGTCGCCTAAGCCCTCCGGAGAAACCCTTCAGTGCACAGGTGTGCCAGTGCACAGCTGGTGCCCGCCGATCCCCGCCGCTGCCCAGGGCCAGGCGGACGGGCCAGGCGCCGCCCTCGAAGGCCTCGGCGTGGCCCTGCAGGATCCTCTGCACCTCCAGGGTCCTGAGCGGGCTGCGAGGGGCAGGAGGAGGAGGAGGAGGAAGAGGAGGAAGAGGAGGAGGAGGAGGAGGAGGAGGAGGAGGAGGAGGAGGAGGAGGAGGAGAGGAGGAGGAGGAGCAGAAGGAGCAGAAGGAGAAGGTGTGGTGGGGGGGGGCGGGAGGAGGAGGCGGAGGAGGAGGAGTAGGAGCAGAAGGAGGAGGTGGGGGGGAGGAGGCGGAGGCGGAGGCGGAGGCGGAGGCGGAGGCGGAGGCGGAGGAGGAGGCGGAGGAGGAGGCGGATGATGATGATGATGATGATGATGATGAGGAGGAGGAGGAGGAGGAGGAGGAGGAGGAGGAGGAGGAAGCAGGAATGCTACAGACAAACTAATTTGCTGCGTGCGCCTCTGCGCGGGCGCATGTGCGCATGGCGATGGGGCAGGTGTGGTGTCCCAGGAGCCCGAGGCCTGGCCACCGAGGAACGGGCACGCGCAAGGTGCATTAGCACCGCTGCCAGAGTCACCGTTCAGGCGACGCCGTACCTGCCCTTTGCCCAGGGCCTCGGCCACAATGTGCCCCACTTGGGTGCGCCAGGATGAGTGCCCAGACACGATCGCGTCGCAAAAAAACTCAGGACGGAAATGTTTCGCCGTTTTCAGCCTCCAAAGACCCTCGCCGGGCCCCGAGACCATCAAATAACTACTCAGGATGGAAAAACAATCCCAAGGAAAGGGTCGGGACTTCCGCGGGGACCGCGTATTGAACAAATGAACACGTCGCATGTCTGAGTGAGTGAGGGGCATGGGTGGTACAGTCGAAACTGATGGTAAGGACACGCGGTAAGGGTGCATACCCCTTGGACGCACATGCCAAAACTTGTCGAGCGCGGCTGGCAATCGAAAGTGGTTGAAGATGGACCAAGGATGGCCGACGATGCAGGGATACAAGGGTCCCCTTCGGACGTCGATCACCCTTACAGTCAGTGTTGACTGTACGGTTGGCGCTGGAAAGACAGCGCGCAGCATCGATACCCGAAGAGCACGCCATCCCCGTGAGGCGATTCCCCGCCTCGGCGCCCCCTCTGTGGCACGCCGTCCCCCTGCCACGGCTTCGTCGATGCACGCTGTCCCCGAGGTGGGGAATGGCGTCTGCCAAGCAGGCCAGCGGCGCCACAATTGCCCGCTATCTTTCCAATGCCAACCGTAAGACGAAGCCAAGAGTGCACGGTTTCCCACGGGGCCGTAGGGGACCCGAGGAGGAGGAGGAGGAGGAGGAGGAGGAGGAGGAGGTGGAGGAGGTTTAGGAGGAGGAAGAGAGGAGGGGGAGGAGGAGGGGAGGAGGAGGAGGAGGAGGAGGAGGAGGAGGAGGAGGAGGAGGAGGAGGAGGAGGAGGAGGAGGAGGAGGAGGAGGAGGAGGAGGAGGAGGAGGAGGAGGAGGAGGAGGAAGGGTCGCCTAAGTTCTTCGGAGAAGCCCTCCAGCCAAGACCGGGACAAGATCAGACCAAGACAAATCGGGGATCTCTGAGATCTGGCGGTTAAGGCCGTTTCAGAGCGTTCCAGAACGTGCTGAGAGAGCTCCAGAACGCTCTAGAACGAGTTATACTGAACCTGGCCTTTGGTCGGACATGTCCTCCTACAGAGGGATTTTGGACGAGAAGTAAAACATACCCCCAAACATGCTCAAACCAATGCCCAACAATACCCAAGAAATGATTCCCTGAACTTTTTTGGTTTTGTTTTGACTATTCCCCCTGTAGAGGGGCAGGCCCGACTTAACTCTAGAACGAGTTGTACTGAACCTAGCCCCGCCCGAGATGGCGAGGGTGGAGGAGGTGAGTGAAGCAGGGGTCGGCTGCCTCCGCTTCAGCTCCGCCTCGACCCGCGCGATCTCTGCATCCGGAGAGCACGCGCCGTGCGGCGAGGCGGGCGCTCCTGAGCATCCTTTGACCGATCCCCATCCCCGCTGGCGTGGCCCAGGCTCCACTGGCCAATGCACCCCTCTCGATGTGGGGCTACCCACGCTGTTCCCCTCGGATTCCGAGGGGCACGCTAAGAGCGGGGGTGATTCTAATAGGCTCTTCACTTCGGACCTGTAGGCTGTTCCGAACCGGGGTGGTGGGATGGTGGATACCGGGATGGGGACAACGAGGGATAGGGACCGGGATCGGCCAAACGATGCTGAGCTCCTGGCTCGGAGGCCTTGCCCAGCGCCGGCGCCCGCCCCTGCAGCAGCGTCGGCGAGGCCGGCGAGGGCCACGCACACGAACGCGGGGAGCCGGGCACCTCTGGCGAGCCGACGCCCCCCGCGGCGATCTGCCCTCGGAGGGCCGCGTGGCACCTGCGGAGGAACTCGTCCTCGGAGTCCGCCCCGGGCCTGCTGCACTGCAGCCCTGCGGGATCGCTGACGCTGGGCGCGGCTGCCCCGGCGGCCAGCGCGGGGCACCCCCCGAGCTCCTGGAGCTGCCTGTCGAGCGTCCTCTTGATCTCCACGGTGGTGCACCGGGTGAGGGGGTCGGGCTCTGGCGCGGCGGCCTCCTCGTGGGCGAGGCGCCTGTCCGGGTGGCACTGGAAGCAGAGGTCCTGGCCGCACTTGTGGCACCTCCAGCGCCTGGTTTTGTCGCCGCCCAGGTGGCCGCAGCTCGATCTGCCGCCGCACCGGCTGCACGAGTAGTGCCTTTCGGCGTAGGGCGTCTGGCCTTGGGAGCGGCAAAAGTGCCCCCGCCGCGGGGCCTCCGCGGGCCCACCCTGTGGGCACAGGCCCTGGCGGCGGCGACCGCGTTGCCAAGGTGTCCCGCTGCAGGGGTCGTTCGGCCGTCCGCGCCAGGGCGCCCAACTCCGCAAAAGAAAATGCGCTGGCACGCAAACGCCGATGCTTGTCCGCCAGGCTCCCTGGGCATAACGCTGCACTGTGGAGGCCAGATGTTGGGGGCGGGTCCATACAGACCAGACAATCCACCCTCACAATAAGCACCCCGACAAGCGAAGCCGTTCAATAAACGCACCCAGGCAAGGAATCCAACGGGGCAGGGCTGTTCAGTAAACGCCCAAGGCCATTTGGCGAACGCCAGTTTACGGGGACGGGGTGGTTTTTCCTCCTTGAGTAGGGGGGGTGAGGCGTCAGGGAACAAGGTTCTGCTTACCTGCCTCGATCACATCGCCAATCGAAAGGGCGCCAAGCAATGGGGGGTGAGAAACATCATGTGCGCGAACCTTGCTTTCTGAGCACCCCAAGGCACCAGGTGCGACCGTGCATCGTGGAAGTCGCTGGGCAGCGATGCCGAAACCGGCTGCGCGCAGCAGTTTTCATCAGAGGAAAAACACCAGCTAACTTTCCAAGCTCCGTGCGGATCCAAGAGGTTCGCGCGGAGTACTAGACCACCCAAAGCCAACCCGAAGTCCCAAGTTGTTTTAGGTTGGGGAGCGAGCGGGTTCCATCCGTGGCTTTACAGCATTCCTGGACGCCCCCCAGACTGGGAATGGAGGGCAACTTGGGCCTTCAAGCTGGGTTGGGATGCTTTGGTGGGCAGGCATCTTCTTCGACCTGTGTTTGTTGATGCCATGACAATGGACACTCTCACAGTCCTATCATTGAATTTACAATGTCTTTAAAATGTCGGGAAAGTGTTCTAAGCATGTTTCTTTACATGTTTGAAGCATTTTTGAAACATGGATAAGACACCTGGAAATTATTTGGCAACATGCTTCCTCTTTATGAATCGACTTCCACAAACCTGTGCCATCATCACACTTTCGGAACGCCCGGCTGGTGGTGGTGGTAGTTCCTTTCCTACTCCCCGGCGGCCCACGGGCACCATGACGCAACCATTCCAGCACTTTGGCGGCTCGGCGGGGACCATCGCCTGCTCCTCTGGCCGATCGACGGGTCCCGAGCCCACACAAAGGTGCAAGACGAGCCCCCCCTCCCCACCACCAGACCCAGCAAGAAACAACAAAGAACCCAGCACAACATTCAGCAACATATCAGTGCAACGCCAGGATCCGTATGTGGAGTCCCTCCATGTTCGAGGCGGCAGAGGCTGGCCCGTAGGAAAAAAGGGCCTCCCGACAACTTTTCTCACCGTCTGCGGGCCCCCCGAGGCCCTCCCCGCGCCCCAGGAGCGCAAAACACTGCTCGGGAGGAGCGGGGCTCCTGGGGAGAGCGCGCCCGGCTCCCTCAGCCTCCTCTTCTCTTCGCGGCGACCGCCTCCCCCCCCGGCATCGGGCCGACTCCACAGGCCCTGGGCGTGCTGGCGTGGACCTCTGGGAGGTCCACGTCTGCCTCCGCCTGCCTCCGCCGAGCTGCGGCTGGCTGGCGGCGCACAGGGAAGTTGGGGGGGAGGGGGGGAGGCCTCTCAGAAGGAGCCTGCTTCTTAGAAGGCGCTGGCCTTACATCTGCAGAGAGGGCCCGCGCCTTCCAAGAAGCAGGGGTGCTCCTGAGAAGCCTTCCCCCCTCCCCCTACCCTTAGGTCGGGCCTGTCCCCCAACAGAGGGGATTCTGGACGAAAAATAAAAAGTACCCCACACATGCCCAAAAGATGCCCGAAGATACTCAGAAGATAGGTCCCCAGACTATGTTTCGACTATTTTTGAATATTCCCCCTGGTAGAGGGACAGGGCCGACTTAACCCTACCCCCGCCTGCGCGTGGCCGAACTGGTGTCCGCAGGCGAGGCCATCCTCGTCCTGCTTCCGCGGGCCTCCGCGGGCCCCGTCCGCCAACGGCCTCCCCTTGTGAGATGCCGGCCTCGAGGGCGCAGACTTCTCCGGAGGACTTCTCGACGGCGAAGACTTCTCTTTGTGCGATCCCTCGAAGGCGAAGACTTCTCTGAAAGATCTCTCGAAGGCGAAGACTTCTCTTGTGTGATCCCGCGAAGGCGAAGGCTTCTCTGGAATGGCCCGAACTGGCGGCGTGCTCTCCTCTCGTGCGCCAAATGCGCCAGGCGCGCCACCCGCAGGAGAGGAGGAGACGGAGGAGGCATCCGCGGAGGAGGGGACGGATGAGGATGAGGATGAGGATGAGGAGGAGGCAGAGACGGAGGAGGAACAACCACAGGACAAGATCAGTCTACATCGAATCCGGATCGGATCGGATCGGAGTGTGCATCGAATCGGGCCGCATCGAAAGGGGCCGGAATCGAATCGGAATGGCCGCGCCAGGGTGCACAACGACGCCATGCGAGCATCGCCCCGCATCGGACCGTCGGAACATCGAAATCAAGCCAGACACGGCCGTCCGACATCGGTACATGCGCTGATCGATCGGATCGGAATTGACCATAGAGCAGGGAAAGGAGGAGGAGATGGGGAAGAGGAAGGATGGAAGACGAGGATCGGCGGAGAGCCTGGGGGGCGGAAATGATAAGGGGCGGGCCTTCTCGGAAGGCTCGGAAGGCCCCCGGCCTTCTGAGAAGTTGTCTTAAGTTTTCCCCGAAGACACAAAACAACTTCTCAGAAGGCCAGAGGAATTCTGAGAAGCCCCGCCGCCTTCTGAGAAGGCCTTCTCCTTCCCACTTCCCTCCCTCGCCCGCCGCCGAATGAGGAGAGAGGAGAAGACGAGGGAAACGATGGAGGAGGCGGAGGAGGAGACGGAGACGGAGACGGAGGAGGATGAGGAGGAGGAGGATGAGGAGGAGGAGGAGGCGACCGAGGAGGAGACGCAGCGGCTGCAGCAGGAGCCCCGTTTGGAGGAGGGCGCCGCAGCTGCACTCCCAGAGATCGAGCCTGGCCAGGCCCCTCCTCTGAGGCAAGGCCCGAGCCTGCGCCCTCCTGGCCTGCCCGGGGCGGCAGATTGAAGGGGCCCTGGGACACACAAATAAATAGACACAAATAACCAGATTCCGAATATTTTCCTATATCTTCTGGATTTTTGTCTCCCCCCACACTTCCCATGTGTTCCCATAATTCCCTGGGAAAATCGACGATTAATTGTGTCTGTGTGATTTTTTCCCTCCTGACTTACGCGAGATGACGTAGCGGCCTTACGCCGCAGCTCACGCGGGCCACCAGGGCGGCACGCCACATTGAAGACGGGGGCGCCTACGTGCGACCGTGCGCGGGCAGCCTACGCGGGAACGTCGGTGCTAACGATCCCGTTGTCTTGCGTCTCTCACATGGCGGGCTCCAGAAACCCTGAACCCGAAAACAGTTCCATCCCTCGGGAGGTCGACCTGTTACTTTCACCACCTTGCGCAACCCTTTCAACTGGCTTCCGCCGGCAGAGGCGGCCTCGTTCTACTTTCGCCGAGCCTCCGCCGCCCTTCCGCCGCCTTCCGCCGAGGAAGAGATGGCAACTCCTTCGATCCCCGAAGGCAAGACCACTTTAAAACTCCTCATATAGGATTGGCCTGGAGGACCAGTGCAGGTGTACGTATCGCTGGCGCCACTAGATGACAAACTAACAACACACACAACACGACACAACACAACACAAGAGAGCACAACACAACAAAACGCAACACAACACAATCCAACACAACACAACACAACACAACACAACACAACACAACACGGCACAGCACAACGCAACACATCACAACACAGCACGGCACAGCACAGCACAACACACAAACAACACATAGTACACAACACACAACACCCACACACAACACATACACACACTCACCCAGACCCATGGGAGGGACGCAAGGGGCTGGGAGTGCGTGTTGTGAGTGGGGGTCCCAGCTCGACCGGGAGCCTCCCCCGGGGTCCGACAACCAGCACACATACCCATAGCCAGTCCTCCTCCCTCCCACCCCCCCATGGGTGTGGGTGTGTGTCGTGCGTCGTCAGTAAGACTCAAGGAGGCGGTGGCGGAGTAGCGCCAGTATCCAGGACTCCAGCGTCATCATTTCATCGCCGAGCAGGCCGCAACCAAGGGTATTGTCGGGAGGCTTCAGGCGCAGGTGGCAGAATCGAGCAAGCGCTGGGCAACTGCGGAGGAAGAGGAGAAGGAGGAGGAGGAGGAGGAGGTGCGTACCCGTCAGCGTAGGGGCCTGAAGAGGCCCCGCTGGAACCTAGCAGAGAGAAGGGGCCCACGCTGCAGGTTCGGTTAACCAGCGCATCGTTGAGTGGTGCTGCAGCCTCCCCTGAGCAGGAGGAGGATCGGGGAACGAAAAAAAGCATGAGCACCATTACCTGGAGCTCCGCGCGGACTTCTTATTATTCTTCTTCTTGGATCCAAAAACCCTCGCTGACCTCCGAGAAGTTATCAGAGCAATTCTGCTTATGCATGTGTTTCTTCTTCTTCTTCTTCTAAAGGCCCCCCAGATGGGGTCGGAGTAGATGGAGTCGAAAGATTGCGCCGCATCGCCGATACATCGGCGGCGATGCACCGGCGATGCAGTGGCGACGTCGGCGAGGCGCAAGTCGAGCTGCGCATCGAGTCGCATCGTCGATGCATCGGCGATGCGGCGCGATCCTTCGACCCCATCTACTCTGACCCCGTCTGAGAGGCCTAGATCTTATTAGTTTCTTCTTCGGATACAGGAATCCGCCGACCCTGACGGCGTGTAACAGAGGCTGTTCCGTCGCCATCGCCGTCGCTGCCGCCGTCGCGTCGCCGCCGCCATCACGTCACCGCCTTCGCCTGAGTCCGTCGCCGCTCCCCCCCCTTTCCTTGGGCCCTCAAGCACGCCAGCCAAAGCGAAATACACCAGCCCATCCACAACGAAATGAAGCAACGTTGTCATGGAGTCGAACGGAAGCCCTTTCCCTTTGATCCCTTCCCCGCGGAGGAGTGAGGGGGGTTCCGGGGGTGGTCCTGGGGGGTGGTCCCAGGGGGTGGTCGGGTCAGAATACCACCTTCCTGGACCGCCCTCTCCCTTCCATTTCCGACGAGGGCCGAGGCCTCCAGGGTCGGCGGCACCAGCCGTAGGCCTTCGCAATGAAAAAAGGCATAAACAAAAACTTTGTTGGCGCTTTGTGCAGATTTCTTGGATCTGCGCTGGATCCCCCTCCCTGGCGCGTTGCGGCCGTTCTTTCTTCTTCGACCGAAAGGAGGAGGCGGCAGAGGGACGAGGAGGCGCCTGTCAAGCGGGCCAGCAACGCCACATCGCCCGCTGTCTTTCCAACGCCAATCGTAAGAGGAAGCCAAGACTGCACGGCTTACCACGGGGCCGTAGGGGACCCGAGGAGGAGGAGGAGGAGGAGGAGGAGGAGGAGGAGGAGGACGAGGAGGAGGAGGAGGAGGAGGAGGAGGAGGAGGAGGAGGAGGGGGAGGAGGGGGAGGAGGAGGAGGCAGACGGAGGAGGAGGAGGAGGAGGAGGAAGAGGAGGAGGAAGAGGCAGACGGAGGAGGAGGAGGAGGAGGCAGGGAGAAGGCAGGGAGGCGACAGGAGGCCCGCACGGCGCAACCGCCGCTCCTCGCCCGCGCCCGCCGCGCTGCCGCCGCCGGCCGGGGTCCGCGGAGCGCCGCGGGCGGCCGACGCCGGCGCCGCCTGGCTCGCGCTGCACCCCATGACCGGGCGCTGTGGGCTGGAACTTCGTGGGCCCTGGGAACGGCAGGGCCGTTTTTCTACCGGTTCCGTTCTGCCGTTTTTGTTGCCGGTTGCGGCGCCGTTGTTTTACCGGTTCCGTCGCCGTTTTTTGACAGGTTCCGGTTCCGGCTCCAATCCTGGAGCCGTTTTTTTTGGCCGTTTCCGGTCGCCGACTTTTTGCCGCTTCCATTTTCAAGGGACATGTTTTTGGAAACGGTGAAAAAACTGCCCTGCTGTTTCAGGGGGCCACAAAGGGCTGGAAGCCTATGTGATCCGGGCGTTGCAACTTTTGCACACCGGGCGTGTGCGCTCCGTTTCGGGCCCTGGGACCCTCACAAGTCAATCCGGCTCGAGAACTGACGCAGAAGGATGGGGTCCGGGGCTCCGGTCGTGTTTTTTGTTGTTGCGCGATGTTGCAATTGTTTCGCAACGTCGGATCTCAGGGAAGATGGAGGTTCGAGGTGGCTTTTTCGCTTGCTCGAGGCAGACAAACGGCAGAGGCATACCATCAGCATGTTGGAGGTCAGCGCGGAGTTCCTGGATCCGCATTTGCCCCCCACCCTGGCCGCACATCCGGCGCTCCCCAGCTCGCGCTGCACCCCATCCCTCGGGCGGTCTGGGCTAAAAGCTCGAAGCTCGAGGTTCGAGAACTTCAGCCAGCGGGGACCCCGAACAGTAAGTTGTTGCACTGTGGCTGTGTAAGCAACGTGGTGCAAGCCATGAGGTGCAGCATTCGTAGTGCAAGCTGGAGGCGGCAACGAAGCGGCAACGGGTGGAAACGCGGCGAAACCCCGCCTGACCCACCAAGCGCACGAGGCGGCACCGCGGCGGCAACGTGGCGGATCCACCCAATTCCTAAGCAACCCTTTGTGCGAACCCGTAGGTGCATGCACCGTTTGGAAGGTCCGCGCGGACTTCTTGACCTGCGAGGGGCTCCCCTGGCCGTGCCGTGCTTTCGGCGCCGACCCTGGCGCGCTCCGCGCGCTCGGGGGGGCGGTCCCGATCCGATCCTAGATATCAGCGCAGACCTCCGAGACTTCCTCTTACACTGATTCGGATGCTGCTTCTTCTTCTTCTTCTTCTTCGGTGTTCGGGGGCCCTGTGTCGGGCGCCCAAGTGGCATCGCCACACCTTGGCCTCCCCGGGGGGCCTCCCGTGCACGGCCGGCTCGCGCTGCACTCCATCCGCGGGGGATCAAGGCTCGAGGTTCGGGGAGGCTTGGACGATTCTCCCCCCTGCTCACATCACCGACCGCGCGAGTTGCTCCACGGTCGACCGAAGCTCGGAGCAGCATAACGCAGCATAACGCCTCGACCTGCGATTTAGAGAGCCCCGTGCAAGAGGCGGCGCGCCAGCGGGGGGGGGGAGGAGGAGGAGGAGGAGGAGGAGGAGGAGGAGGAGGAGAAGGAGGAGGAGGAGGAGGAGGAGGAGGAGGAGGAGGAGGAGGAGGAGGAGGAGGAGGAGGAGGAGGAGGAGGGGGAGGAAGGGAGGAGGAGAAGAGGAGGAGGAGGAGGAGGAGGAGGAGGAGGAGGAGGAGGAGAGGAGGAAGAGGAGGAGGAGGAGGAAGAGGAGGAGGAGGAGGAAAGCGAGGAGGAGGAGGGGGAGGAGGAGGTGGAGGAGGAAAGCGAGGGGGAGGGGGAGGAGGAAAAGAAGGAAAGCGAGGAGGAAGAGAGGAGGAGGAGGAGGAGGGCAGGAGGAGGAGAAGGAGGATAAGAGGGGGCGGCGGGGACGTGTGCAGTCTGCGAGGCTCTGAAGAAGCCCGCCGCAGGCGCCGATGTTTCGTTGAAGCAGTGTGGGTAGGTCGCGGGGTGGGTCGCAGGTGGGTCGCAGGTTGGTCGCGGGTGGGTCGCGGGTGCGTCGCGGGTGGGTCGAGGGCGGGTCGCAGGTAGGTTGCGGGCGGGTCGCGGGTGGGTCGCGGGCCAGCTCGCGGGCCGGGTCGCGGGCCGGGTCGCGGGGTGGATCGCGGGCGGGTCGCGAGCCGGGTCGCGGGTGGGACGACGCCAAACAACAACAACAACAACAACAACAACAACAACAACAACAACAACAACAACATCAACAACAACAACGACGACGACGACAACAACAACAACACCAACAACACCACCACCACCACCAACAACAACAACAATTGCAACAACAACATCAGCATCAACAACAACAGCAACACCAACAACAACACCAACAACACTTACAACAACAATAACAACAACACCAACAGCAACGACAACAACAACAACAACAACAACAATCACTTTACCCGAACGCTCAGTGTTCTCACCAGTGCCAGGGTTTTCATGCGACGCCAGCCAATACCCCCACTTTGTGGGGGGGCAGTGCAAGCTCTACCAAATATCCACACGACTCTTCGCCACCACCCACACCCAGCTTCCCGCCCTATGACGTTCGGACACTTCACTTCGTGGCCTGCGGACGACCGTGGCTACTACACTGGCGTGGAGTACACACCCACAGAAGTTGTTAAGCCTACGTTCGTACACCCACAGAAGTTGTTAAGCCTTGTTAACCCACAGAAGTTGTTAAGCCTTCCACAGAACATCTGTTGCATATGATGCATATGGTACATGATACACATGATACACATGATACGTACTCACAAGATAGTTGATCACATCTTTACAGCGCGCGCGCGGGTAGAAATTTTGAAAAGTCGTGCAGGTGTTTTTCGAGGACCTACGGTGCGATTCGTGTGATTTATGATGCGCGGTGCTAAAATTCTTAAGAAGCCCAATGGTTTTTGGAGATTTCGGCGTGCGCGCGCGAAGAAAAAACGAATGTGTCCCGCATGGTATTATTTGACAGGGATGATGGCCCTGGCAGGTGCGCAACCGTTGTCGCAGAAGTTCGAAAAAGTTGCTCGCAAAAGCCCGTTTGACAGAAATGTTTAAAAAGTGTTGGGTTTCCTACGAATCCGCAAGAGCGCGCGGGATGAGATTTTGACATTTTTTTGTTGAAAAACCATTGGTTTTTTGATGTTTGTATGTTAAAATCGCTCCGAACACTAAGCTTTTGGAAGGATTTCGTCTTGCGCGCGCGAATGTCCACTTTACCTTATTTTTTGCAAGGGATTCTTGAAATTTGATTATATTAGAACAAGAAATGTCATTTTATAGTGTTTTTTGCAAGGGAAAACGGATTACAACAAAACAACCGGATCTGGACCCCATCCACTTTTCTGAAGCTTTCGCGAAAAAATGATGAAAATGTAGCTGCGGCCTAGGCGCGGCGGGGGGGCCGTGCACCAGGGGTCCCAACAATAATTATTCTTTAGAATTAATAATGTTCAACAACAACAACAACAACAACAACAACAACAACAACAACAACAACAGCAACAAACACAGCAGCAACAACAACATAAACAGCAACAACAACAACGACAGCAACAACAACGATAACAACAACACCATCAACAACAAGCAAGCAAGCAAGCAAGCAAACAAACGAACGCACTAACAAACAATAGCAGCAACAACAAAAACAATAATCCGAATCGCGGAATTCCACTTCAGCCACGCACCTAGGGACAGTGAATGACCGTTCGGCCCACTCACTCTGATATATATATATATATACACATTAATAGATGTATGTATACATTTTGTCGTTGGTCCACGATCGGGCCCGCCTCGTCGTGGAAGGCGGGCCGACGGGGAAGCAGCGTGGGTGTTGGCGGCCAGCTCCCCCCGCCACGCTCTGCACGCAGGAACCGGCGGAGGCCCGCGGAGGACGGGGCACACTCCCAGTGAGGCACCAAATGCGGAGGCCTCGGAGGCCGCAAGGCGCCCCGCAGAACGGGCCGAGGCCAAGAGGCCCACGCACCCCGCCAGAACCCCAGGGGGAGGAGTCGAGCGTTCCAAGGGGATGGAGACCGGAGCAGCATCGCATCGACAGAGGTATTTGCCGAAGCGGCGCCAGGGCGGGAGCTATGTGCTTCGCGAACTTCCGCCGGGGTGTTCATGGAAGGAGGTGGGGGAGGCGACGGGGGAGGAAGCGGAACGGGAGGGGCCTGAAGAGGAGTGAGGAGCCGGGAACGAGGAACAAAGAAGGGTGATGGTTATGGTGATGGCTTTGGTGATGATGATGATGCCGCTGCTGATGATGAGGATGAGGATGAGGACGAGGATGATAATGAGGATGAAGATGCTGATGATGATGCTGGTGATGATGATGGTGATGATGGTGGTGATGATGATGATGGTGATGGTGATGGTGATAGTGAGGGTGGTGATGATGATGATGGTGATGATGGTGGTGATGATGATGATGATGATGATGATGATGATGATGATGATGATGATGGTGGTGAAGATGGCAGTGACGAGGAGAACGTGTAGATGAAGTTGCGTAGCATTATGGTGAGGGTGGGGGGAAGTGAAAAGGGAGGTAGGAGGGTTAGAGGGAGGGCAGGGCGCAGCGGACAACGCAGCCCGCCTAACCCCACCTACATGGATCGCGCATTTGCGACTGGTACACACACGCCATTCTTCCTCCGCGAGCGCGCGCAGGATGGACAGAGTCAGAGCCTGCTCGCACGCACGAAGGGGCTCCCAGCACCAAGGGAGGAGGGCAAAACAAAACCGACGAGGAGGAGAAAGCGGAAGGAACAGGACTGACGACTGACTGACGGCGGGATCCCCGAAGCAGACTAAAGCCACACCAAAACCAAAACGTTAACAACTGGCGACAGCATGCCCCCTGCACGAGCGGGAGTAATTACGCGCAACAGGAGCACGGCGCGGGAGCGGGAGCCAGAGGCAACGTGGGGGCAGCACCGGCACAGGAGGACGAGGAGGAGGAGGAGGAGGAGGAGGAGGAGGAGGAGAAGGAGCATCGGCGCAGGAGCAGGAGCACAGGGCGGCGGGAGCGGCAGGAGTCGCGAGGGGAGCAGGAAGAAAAACGGGACGTGCCACGCCACCCCCGTCTCGAGGGGGAGAGGTGCCCGGCCTGCTGCAGGGCGGAGGCGTGCTGCCTCTGCTGCTC